AAAAAAAAAAAAAAAAAAGGGAGTTTTTACAAGATTGAATTTCCCTTCTGGGATAAATAAAGTATTTTTCATTTCATTTCATTCATTACCTGCATTAGCAATGTCTCCACAACTTCAATGAGCAGACACACACATCAGATGATAAAGGGGCTCTGTGTGTAATCACATGTCCAATGTCACTGCAGATGGTAAGAGCCAACCTGCTGATCAGGGCTGACCAATCAATAAATCAGCAGGAAAACTGGCTGCTCAGAAAATTACAAAATACCAATACCAGCACTGATGCGGCAAACAAGTGGAACTTCAGGCTTGCAGTTTTAATTTTATTAAAGTTTTTTCACAAGTTAAAGAAAACATGAAACTCTGAACTCTTTCTCGTTTTAGTTGCATTCAGTGTTTTTCATTTTGATGACATGATCGCAATCAGAAATACTTCATGGATCCTGACGAGAAACTGCTCATGTTACAGTTGCTCCAATTCATAGTCTTAGAAATATAAATACATAGATAAGCATAAATAGAAAAATATGTCCTGAAAATATGAATTTAAGTAGAAACAGTACAAGCATCAATGTAAAGTGTGCTTTTCCTTAGAAGATAAAGTGTGTGTTGTTTGTGTTTGTACCTGATCAGCTGTTCCTGAGAGAGATCGATGGAAAAATCTGTCACACTGAGGCGAGACACCGACTTTCTGCTGCCTGCAGACACAAACATGAACAAAATGTAAAAATTCTACAGCAGTTTGTGTGTTTGAGTCAAACTATAGTGAGTCTGGGTTTGAATTTACTGTCTAAATGTACACAGACTGTCCTGAAATCTGATTGGTCACTTCAGATCTGATCAACTGTTGGATCTTTTTTACTGAAACTCTGATGTTGATTTAGAGAAAGTTCAGCTGACGTGACTGATGGACTGACTGACTGTATTCACACATAACTCATTGTTAACTGCATCAGTCTTTTCCCTGTAAAATCTGAATCCAGTTTATCAATATGTAACTACATAACTCTCCCTCTGACATTTTAAGCATAATGTTTGGGCTTTTTTGCCTTAATTCAGAGCAGTAGTAGGCAGGGAAGGGCGAGAAGAACATGGAGAGACCTGCAGCAAAGGGTCGTGAGTGGGAGTCGAACCCACGACTGCTGTGTTGGGTTACTATAGCTATCTATAGCTAAGTACAGCTAACTACAGCTAACTATAGGGAACTACAGCTAACTACAGCTAACTATAGGGAACAATAGCTAACTGTAGGGAACTATAGCTATCTATAGCTAACTACAGCTAACTATAGGGAACTACAGCTATCTATAGCTAACTGTAGGGAACAATAGCTATCTATAGCTAACTATAGCTAACTTTAGCCCCTGTTCATGGGTTGCCCCTATAGCTCAGCTAGCTGCTAGCTGAGCTATAGGGGCAACCCTCTCTCTGGCATTTTAACACGCTTCTGTCCTACAACAGCAGCACACAGTTCCTGACATTCTGTCAAAGCTTTGGGTGTTGTTTGGTGGATTCTCAGTGGCTGAATGTGGTCATGTCTACAAATCAGTTTTAAATTAATGTCAAGTGTGTCATGACTTCAGAAACAGCAGCACTCTGCTTCACACCTCGGAGCCCTGCACACTGTATTTTTATTCTGTGTTGGTTATTGATGTTTTCTGTGCTGATGCTGCTGATCAGTTTAAATGTGGGTTCTTACTCTTGTCTCTGAAGGTGGAACTCTCTCTTCGCTGGGTTATACTAAAGGTGTGGATAAGTTTAGCAAAGGATCCCTTCCTGTCCATCAGTTCCATGTAGGAACCCATCTCTGAGATGTGGCCGTCCTCCATCACCAGGACCAGGTCTGCTTTAGAGAGGAAGCTGAGGCCGTGAGTCACCAGAACCCGAGTCTGAACAAAAACAACACAAACATTGCAAGTTTGGAGTGAGCATGTCTGAACAACAGCACACAGTACAAGTTTTAAACAGGCCAGAATTGCCTCCTGAGACCAAAGAGTCCATCTCATCCACTGAAGGTCCCTTGTTCTCACTGGTAGTCCAGGTACTGCCTCTCCTGGCCCACCGGCCCAGACATGCTGAAGGGCTTTTATAGAAAAGGCCCCAAAGTTATGGGTATATTCAGGTTGTAGTTTACGTTGAAGTGGTTTTGAACTGTCTAGTTCTTAAATTGTTGTTGCTGGAGCCGTGTTGTGTCGATAAGTGAAATATGTTTAATGAAGAATATCTGGAATCATTCGTATACACTGTCTGACATCTGTGGGTCTGGCCCAGTTCTGTTCCAGTTGTGCAGCTATTGTCGTTCTGTAAATTTCAGAACACAGAAAAAGCCATGATCTGCAGTTTCTGAAGTGATTGTAGCCTTCTTGAGTTAATTCAAATACATTCTGATGAGATGTAGCGAAAACCATAATCACCAGTAATAAAGGGGATTCAACCGATTTGCCTACTGTCTTTATTCCTCTTCTCTGAATGACCTGGCTTCAAGAGGTGTTCTGGCTGACACCCCCTGTGGGACTCTGTTACCATGGGCCACGTCCTACCATCTGCACTTTCTCCCACCGGGACCCAAGTGAGTTTGCCTGGCTGAGGATCTCGTTAGAGAATCTCTTACCCCATGAGGCAACTGAATTGTTCAAGTATCAAATGCTGGTTGATCACCTGCAACTGGAGGAAGCCAGGTTAATAGCAGACACCTACCTTAGTTCACCAGCGCCCTTCTCAGATACTATGGCTGCCCTCAATGACAAGTCTGGCCAACCACACTAGATAGCACTGAAACGGATCGCAGCTGTCTTGGATGATGGCTCGGAGAGAACTATGATCCTACTGGATGCTGCACACTTGTTGGGTGTGCAAGGGATCCCAGAAGACTTATCACTGCACACAATTAGACAGGACATACAGTCACTCCGTGGAGCCTTATTGTCATTCTCTATCACTTCACCCTCCAACCCAAAGACCAAGTACAGGATCACCAGTGCATTCACCGCTGCCTGCATTGGAGCAGCAAGACATACGTACCCCATGGAGCAGTTCCCAAGGAGTTAAAAACACCTCATTGGCCTTCCCATACTGAGCCTGACTTACGTTAAGGCCCTGCTTCTCATTGGGAGTGACCACCCCCACCTTGTCACCCCATAGAACCTGTCAGATTGGGACCTCCAGGAGGACCTGCTGCTGTACACACCAGAGTAGGCTGGACTCCGCAGGGACCAGCAAGTGTGGTCGACCACATCTCCCAACCACTACAGTGCCTACTGACCACAGTAACACCCCAAGTGAGGTAGCTTATGAGGCATGCTGAGAAACTGTGGTTGGTTGATACCGTACCATTTCGCAGTGAAAAGCTAGTTACTCAGTCAAAGCAGGACACAGAGACTATCAGCACTCTCAAGACCAAAATCACTGGGGTAGAGGTTGATGACATTCACCGTATGCCACCCCTCTGTACCACTGTAAGGAAATGCCACTCCTTCAAGCTACACCAGCTGTTGTCATGGCCATCTTACGGAGTGTAGAAAGGTGACTGGCTAGAGACCCTGCACAAGCAGAAGCCTACAGAGTGGAGATGGAGAAACTGATCAAGGCAGGTTCTGCAGTCAAGTTAGGTGCAGAGATACCAGTCAAGGACAGTTATGAAGCATGGTACATCCCTCACCATATGGTGAGCCATAACGGCAAGAACAGACTAGTATTTAATTGTTCCTTTCAGTATCAGGGCTACAACCTGAATGATTACTTGCTGCCTGGCCCAACCTTAGGCGCCACACTTCTGGGGTTTTTACTGCGTTTCTGGGAGCATGCAGGCGCAGTCAGTGGAGACATCAGAGGTATGTTCCATCAAGTTCACCTCCTCCCAGAAGATCATGCTCTGATCAGGTTTATTTGATGTGCTGTCGGCAGGTATTGCCATTTGGAAGTACGTGTAGCCCCGTTCTGCTACATTTGCCCTGCAGTGGCACATTACTGAAAACAGTCAGCCAGGTGAAGATGTGAGGATCATAGTGGAGAAATGCTTTTATGTTGGCAATTGTCTCCAAAGTGTTCCCACCATTGCTGAGATAAGACACCTTGTTGACAAATTAAGAGCCCTGCTAGCATCTGCAGGATCTGAGTTACGCCAGTGGGCCAGCAATGAACCTGATGTAATAAGTCACCTACCTGAAGAGAGGTTATCTGCCAATGTTGAGTTGTGGATGGCTCAAAGTAAGACCGATACCCCAGAATGCACCCTGGGGCTAAGCTAGCTCTTTTATAAGGATGTCCTTGGCTACAAATATCATCACATGGATTGTAATTCTTTATCATCAGGATGTCCTAATAGTTCTCTTAAAAACCTTCAGCTCATACAGAATGCTGCAGCCAGAGTTCTGACAGGAACCAATCAAAGAGATCATATTTCTCCAGTATTAGCTTCTCTCCATTGGCTTCCTGTAAAATCAAGGATCCAAATTAAAATGCTGCTTCTAACATATAAAAGCCTTAATGATCAGGCTCCATCGTATCTCAAAGACCTGATTGTTCCATATTATCCTAGCAGAGCCCTTCGCTCTCAGACTGCAGGTCTACTGGTGGTTCCCAGAGTTTCTAGAAGCAGAATGGGAGGCAGAGCCTTCAGCTATCAGCTCCTGTCTGATGGAATCAGCTCCCAGTTTGGGTTCTGGAGGCGGACACCCTCTCTACCTTTAAGATCAGGTTAAAAACGTTCCTGTTTGATAAAGCTCATAGTTAGAGCTGCTGGGAGTCATCTGAGCTGTCCCTTAGTGATGCTGCTATAGGTTTAGACTGCCGGGGGATTCCCATGATGCACTGGGCTTCTCTCCTCTCCTCTTTATATATATATATGTGTATGTATATGTTTCTATAGTTGCCTATCACCATTACATATGACTAACTCTGTGACTCCCCCCGAGGTTCTCCTGCGCCTGCTCTCTCTGTGGATGTCTCTGGATCTGGAGCTCCTGAACTACAGCCGCTGGCCTCACCTTCTGCATCCTGCTGCCCCACCATGATGCCTCCTGTTACAAAAGGACAATCACTTCTAATAACTTGTTTAACTGGAAACTAAATGTTAGAATTCATCCTACATCCACCCAACCGGTGGAGGCAGATGGCCGTCCCTCCCTGAGCCTGGTTCTGTCCGAGGTTTTTTTTCCCCTGTGGGGGTTTTTGGTTCCGTCCCACCAGCAGACTGCTGAAGCTTATAGAGAATCCAGATGTTTGGATTGTTGGGTGTTTCTGTCTTTGTGAAGCGCTATGAGATGACTGTTGTTGTAAATATGCGCTATACAAATAAAATGGAATTGAATTGAATTATGATGTCCCAACAATGCAGGAACATCTATAAAGTAGTGGCAAGTCAGTACGACCTTTTAGGATTCATCTTGCCCTACACCACTCTGGCCGAGGTGCTTGTCAGGCACCTTTGGGATGACCACTCTCTTCTCCTCTCTCTTCCTTCCATACAGGTGTAACCACCATTACATGTCACTAACTCTGTGCTTGTTCTCTCTGCAGACATCTCTGGATCTGGAGTTTCACGTCTCTGACCTCCAGCCACTGGCCTCATGCAGAAGGCATCACATTGAGCTGTAGCAGTACAGCTAGAGTCTCTGAGATAGTGATGCTGCTGAAAGAAGCTATGACGCTGGGATCCGCGTATTCTTCACAAACAAGGAACCTCTGGAGCACAGACAGTCCCTTCCACTGTCTCAGGAGGCTCACATTTACCTTTTTTCTGTCTAAATGACTCATTCTAGAGATAAATAAAGCAGTCATTAAGGCAAAAATCAGCCTCATGTGGTGTTAAATTTCAACATGAAAACAACATGGAAGCAGCTTGTAACTTTGCACATGTGATAACAACATATTGAACCCTATGAACACTAGATTTTGTTTCCTACCAAAGAATCCACATCACCATTTTCTTAGTATTGCAAAAAATTGGAACTTTGTCAAACTTGCCACATATCACACTCTATTGTGTTAGAGCCTCAAAAATCGGTGAAATGTCGACCAAAGACTGCATTTTAGAAGCAAATATGCATCCATTCATAGATATACACTTTCTGGGGCCACAACACCACTAAAGTTTGCAATCTTCACACTTTCATCCATTTTCAAGGGCCCATGATAAAAGATTTGAACCTGCTGGAAACTATTCTGTCTGTGTATTTTCCTAATTTCATGGCTTTTGGAGTTATAATTCTGAGATATTGAACCCTTAAAATAACTTCTTAAGAGTTTTTAAGGGCAAAAACAAAAATTCTAAAAACAGCCTGAAAACAAATGAAATTCTAATTTTAATTTAATTTTAAAATATTTTAAAGTTGTGAATGACAACTACAGCATGAAGTATGTCTGTCTAGGACCTGGAGACAGAACAGCTACAAGTCAGCAGCTCTTACTTTGTCTTTGAGGAGTCCTCCAGGTCCAATGACTCGGTCAAAGATGTGCTGTCCCACCTGAGCATCGACCGCTGACAGCGGGTCATCAAGCAGGTAAACATCCGACCTCCTGTAGGCGGCTCGAGCCAGACTCACCCTCTGCCTCTGCCCCCCGGAGAGGTTCAGCCCCTATAGGGGTAAATATAAGCCGAGGTAAACAGTCAGTAATAAACAGTCGGTAAACAACAGTCAGTGAACCACAGTCGTTCAACAACAACTTCCTGTGGACAAACCCCTGCAGGGGAGACACTGTTGATCATCCTATGGACAGAGTCCTGCCGAGGAACAGTCAATCCAACATCAGAGGAAAGTGTTGGTACCTTCTCTCCAATTTCAGTGCTGTCTCCGGCAGGCAGGATGTCCAGATCCGGCATCAGAGCGCAGGCGTCCAGCACTCGGTGGTACCAGCTCTCTGTCTTTTGTCCACCAAACAGAATGTTGTCCTTCAGAGAGGCGTTCTGGATCCAAGCCTGCTGTGGGACGTATGACACTGAGCCCTGCAATCCAATGTCAAAATAATGTTTATTAATATGATTTCTGGAGACAGTTTCATTACGTTTAAAGAGTGTCTGGATTTTTACATTTGGCAGCTGTAATGCTGCACAGACACCTTCCACCATAACACAAACTGTTTGTTTGCTTGTGTGGTGCCTCTCAGCAGCTGCAGGACTGCTTTGCAAGCACAGACTGGGACATTTTCTGCCATCAGGACCTGGAGGTGATCACCTCAGCAGTACTAGGCTCCATCCAGCACTGTGCTGACACCGTCACAGTGAACAGGCATATCTGGGTGTTTCCCAGCCAGAAGCCCTGGATGAACAAGGAGGTCAAGGCACTGCTGAGGGAGAGAAACAGCGTTTTGAGGTCTGGAGACCGGGACCTGTACAGCTGTGCTCGAGCTGCTCTGAAGAGAGGCATCAGAGAGGCCAAGACGAACTACAAGCAGAGGATTGAGGAGGACTTCAGCAGCAACAACAGCCGGCAGGTCTGGCAAGGGGTCCAGCACATCACCAACTTCAGATCCAGCAACACCATTGCAGTCTCAGGGGACGCCTCACTGGCAGATGAGCTTAACCACTTTTGTACCCGTTTCAAGGCTGAGCCACCAGTGGGGCCCACCAACATCCCTCCAGAGCCAGACCTTCACTGTGCAGGTACAGGAGGTGAGGAGAATCCTGAGGGCAGTGAAACCCCGGAAAGCTGACGGGGTGACAGGGAGGGTGCTGAGGGACTGTGCTGACCAGCTAGCTGGGATTTTCACCAGCATCTGTAATTAGTCCCTGTAATTAGTGCTCCATCCCACCCTGCTTAAAGTCCTCCACCATCATCCCTCTGCCAAATAAGAACAACATCAGCCGTCTCAACGACTGCCGGCCAGTGGCACTAACCCCCATCATTATGAAGCGCTTTGAGAAACTGGTTCTGAGTCACATCGCTTCATTCCCACCACCCACACTCGACCCCCACCAGTTTGCCTATAGAGCCAACCAGTCTATGGAGGATGCCACCGCCGCTGCTCTGCACACCACGCTGACACACGTGGAACAGCGAGGGAGCTACGCGAGGCTGCTCTTCCTGGACTTCAGTTCGGCTTTCAATACCATCATCCTGAGCAGATTGGTGAACAAGCTGGGGGACCTGGTCTCTCCCATAACATCTGCAGCTGGATCATGGACTTTCTGACAGACCGGTCCCAGAGGGTGAGAGTAGGGCCCCACCTGTCCTCAGCACTGAGCACCAGCACCGGCGCTCCACATGGCTGTGTGCTAAGCCCCCTAATCTACGCACTCTACACCTACGACTGCACCCCCACCCACCTGAACAACACCATCATCAAGTTTGTGGATGATACCACGGTGGTGGGGCTCATCTCTGGAGGAGATGAGACCGTACAGAATGAAGGTGGAGCGACTGTCAGTCTGGTGCATCACCAACAACCTCATCCTGAGCACCTACAAATCGAAGGAACTGATTGTCGACTTCAGGAGGTGTACACCAGACATTCAGCCCATCACTATAAACAGGGACAGGGTGGAGATGGTGCCAGACTTCAGGTTCCTGGGCACCTACATCGGTGAAGACCTGACCTGGACTACAAACTCCACTTCAATCCAGAAGAAGGTACAGCAGAGACTCTACTTCCTGAGGATTCTTAGGAAGAATAACCTGAGAACTGAGCTCTTGTTGTCCTTTTACCGCTGCTCGGTGGAGTCGGTGCTGAGCCACAGCATCTCGCTGTGGTTCTCCAGCTGCACTGCAGCAGAGAGGAAGCAGCTCCAGAGGGTCAGTAACACTGCCCAGAGACTGACTGGCTGTCCTCTTCCATCTCTGGAGATTTACAGCACCCGCTGCCTCAGTAGAGCTGCAGCATCATCAGAGATCCCTCACACCCCGGCCACCACCTCTTCAAACTTCTGCCCTCAGGGAGGCGTTTCAGGGCAATAAAGACAAGGACAAACAGACTGAAGAACAGTTTTTATCGAAGAGCTGTCGTTGCCATCGTGAACTCACTGTGAGCAGAATTTGTGGACACAATGGCGCGACACAGAAAGCAAAAGACAGGTTTAATAACAGGCAGAGGTATTCAAGAACGGCAGGCAAAAGACAAGGTCGGAAGCAGAAAAACAAGGTCGTAGCAAGGCAGACTATGACTGTGAGAACACTGGGACGAAGACCGTGAAGTGCAACGAACTGGCAACGAGACTGTGAGACACACAAGGTAATACAGACGAGGTAATGAGGGGAGATGGGAAACAGGTGAGGGAAAGCCATCAGGGAGCAGGTGCGGGAAGTAAATCTAGGACAGAGACAACCGGTAAAGTGATTTCAAAATAAAACAGGAAAGACAAGACATAAAATGTGCACACACAAAACAGAAACTTGACAGACATGACAGCTGCCCTGAACGCCGCAAATTCTCAAACATCATTCTTCACTGTGCAATAGAAAAATCACTGTTAATAGACAAGTGCAACATCAATACATAACAAGTGTGATTTTCCTGGAATTTCTTGAACGCAATATCCCAGTTGTTTTTTATTTTTTAAATTTATATTCATATTTTTTATTCTATATTCTCTTTTTTCTAGTCTTCATCCCTTTAGCCCGTGAACTGTACAGTCTTGTGAAAAAATGTCAACACTATGTCTTGTGTACTTTTTGTCCTGATGTTTTGCATTGCCTGCAAGAGCTGCTAACTCAAATTTCGTTGTGCTTTCTTGCACAATGACAATAAAGAGATTCTGATTCTGGTTTTTCATGTTGTATTCAGTTTGAAACCTGTATCTACAGGATGTGTTCTTTCCTGCTATGGTTCATATAAACACGAACATTATGCACATTAAAATGTATTTCCCCTAAACCCCCATTCACTGGAGTTTGTTCTCTTCGAAAATATACATTTTGTGTCATATGAATGACTATTAAGCATTGACACTTTCTCACATAATAAGCAAACCTGAAGAATGTGAAACTTGTTGTTTGCTCACAGATTTATAATCACATGCAGTGGTCAATATATGAAGATCACCCCTGCTTCAGCTCGGCACCTGTGAACAGAACCAGCATCTGCTGATTCAACTGACTGTGTCAGGAAGCGGGGTTTTGGGCTCTGATGTTTTAATCCATCTCCTGCAGGTTTCCACCAGGGGGCGTCCTGGGGAATTCCTGCTGTGCTGGGGCTCATTCCCTGCAGGTGTGTTCTTCACACACCCGCAATTCATCAGGCTTGTTATTCCGTGGATAAATGGAGCTGGCTGCCAGTCACTCATGGCCTGAGTGTTAACCACCGTGGTAACGTCAAGCCTCCTCCTGAGTTTTCCTCGTGCTTCTTCCTGAGCCTATGAATAACTGTCTCTCTCCTTCTCTAAAGGTTTTTCCAGTGTTCCCGCTCCTCGCATGTGGTTCCCCTCAACCTGCCTGCGCCAGACCTGAGTTTTCTCTGTGGCTTCCTGGATCCTCGGTTCACAACTGGCAACGTTCTTGCCTCTCACTCACTCCACTGTTTGACCACCATACCAGCCGTCCACAAACCCACGTCGACATCCCCGCCTGCATCAAGCTCATCGTTGCACATAGCAACCTCTGCAATAAACATCATTTTTCCAAACTCCTTTTCTCCTGAGTGTTACTCTGCATGTGGGTCAGAAACCTCAACAAAACCATGACAGACTGCCCTCTGTTCATTTATATTATCACAAATACTTTGGCTGAACAAGCTAATAGTAAAACACCGGAGCTGAACTAAAATAATGATCTGAGTTTGATTAGTTTTGTCTGAACAGAAACCAGAGAGCAGTCAATTCAAAAGGTTTATGTTGGGTTCATACAGCTGTGCTCATAGAAACACTGTCTGGTTAATAGCAGAGCAAAGTTTGGTCAGAGTATGATGGAATGTCGGTGTTTTTTGTTGATGTTTCAGCCTATTTTTTCTCATTGAAAACATTAAAATTGAAGGCAGATTCATGCTGGAACAGATAAAAGACATCACGATGGTGTCTGTTCATTGCTGGAAGGTTGTTTAGTCACAAAGACCAAATAAGCTCTCGTCGGGTGGTGACGTCACTGCTGGCCCCACACCCTCAACATTTCTTCACACCCACTAACAATTTGTGTAAACTGAGAAATTGGCTTAAAATCCAAGAAAAATGAAAAAAAATTAACATAGTTTCCTGTCAGGGCCGCAGGTGGTTCAGTGGTTAGCACCGTGGCCTCACAGCCAGAAGGTCGCCGGTTGGCGTCCCGGTGAGGACACCCGGGATCTTCCTGCGTGGAGTCTCCATGTTCTCCCCGTGCAGCGTGGGTTCTCTCCGGGTTCTCCGGCTTCNGCAGGAAATCTCTTTCATAACAACAAATCAAAGTGAATCAATGCTCCTGATTGGATGTTCTCTGTTATAAATACCAATAGATGATTAATGTTCTGATCAGTGATCTATCAGCTGCAGGACCAGCAGAGTAAACGGACCAAACACAGAAACGCATTCATGTGATTTCTGCATCAGCAGCTGAACACATGTAGGTTTCCATGGCAACAGGATGCCTCCAGTTTGTGATGCTGGAACTGCTTCATTCAGTGTTTCAGCAACGTACAGATCAGCAGGTTTACAGAGAAAACATCATCATCAGGGACCAGTTAAAGGGAGACACTGAGCACAACCTGGACCAGGTTAGCATCAGTTACCGTGGAGACCTAGCTCCACGGCACCAGTTACCGTGGAGATGCAGCTGGTTAAAAGAGAGCCACCTTCGCTATGCTGAAAACTGACTTTAAGCTCGACATATCTGATAACCCACTGATCTGGCTTCGTAGTGCAGAACTCTGGGTCAGTGTATGATCTTGACTTGTGTCCTGTGATTCCAGACAGGGTTCAGGACTCTGATTTCTTACTGTTTTGCTGCAGCAGAGTTTGGACAGTGGGATGATGCCTTGGTGGGGGCGGAGCTGCAGGTAGACTAGGTAGAGCGGTGAACACATCCACAGGTAAACACACGGGAACCACACAAGGACAGTGTGCTGGAAACACTTGGTGAGGTCTGGTGTAGAGGTGTACCAGGTTATGTTCCAGTCCTGAAAGCACAAATCACAAATACAAGCCAACTATATGCTGTTAACCAGAGCACACCTCACAGCTGATGTCTGTGGAAAGTTACAGCTTCTCTAACGTCTGTGAAACAGCAGCTTAAAATGAACTCACCCAGAGAGGATCCAGACCACTGCCACTGCACAAAGTCTCCATTTTCTACTCTTTCTTCCCCTTCTACTGTTCCTCACCAGTTTTCTTCCTCTATGTAATCTTGTGTTGAATTTGCCAGGAGTTTCTGCTGCTGCTCCAGTTCTGTAAGAAACTAACGCTGCAGTGAGAAATCGCTGCGTGAACGTTCCCTCCCTCTCAGTCAGCTGAGCTCAGCACAGAGCTCTGCAGCATGAAGCAGGATCTGAGGTTCTGGAGGTCACTTCTGGTTTAACTCTGGGTTTTAAGGACTCAACAGTGACAGCCTTCTTACATCGCCACGGTAACTAATGTTGAACACCTGAGCTGCTCCGGAGCAGGTGATGTTCCAGGTAACAGATCACAACATATTAAAGCTCCTTCTACTGACCAATCAGCTCTTCGGAAAATATCCTCATCACTCTTGCAGAGGTTCGTGTGCAGATAATAAGAGTGAAGGTCAGAGTTTTCAGCCTTCAAATCATCATCATAACAACAGTTGATCAGATTTATTTCGTGCTTTTCTAGACACTCAGACGCTTTACCCCATCAGTCATTCATCCGGCGGTGGTAGCTACGGTTGTAGCTACAGCGGCCCTGAGGCAGACTGACAGCGGCGTCATCCTCCACAAAAACATGAAAATTGTTATATTTATTACCTGATTTTTTAATTCTTTAAATGATTTATCTTCTGTGGGACAGAACAGAACTGTTGGTGGAGGTGCAACACAGCAAGTTGCTCAACACTTCATTTCGAACCAACTGTAAAAAACTACAATAGGCAGAAATGTAGTGAAACCTGAACTTTATTCAAAAACAGACACAACTCAACATTTTAACCTTTATTTTAAAAAAATCTTGCATTAAAAAAAGCTACGGTTCTATTTGGATGAGGTCACTGGTGACATCACTCGGACAGCCAGAGTTTGAAGGTTCGGTCGTAGGAGCTTGTGGCGATCAGCTTTCCGTCAGGCGACACATCAACACCCATCACCTGGAAACAAAAGCGAGTTTGAGCCAATCAGATGGCTGTGCTTCAGCAGACCAATGAGTAGAGCTCCAGCAGACCAACCAGAGCGCAGCGTTCATACCTTGCCCTCGTGTCCAGCGAGCGTCTTCAGCGGCGTCCAGCCTGGGTGACTCCAAACCTTTGCTGTGTTGTCGTAGGCACCGGTCAGCAGGAAGTGACCGTCTGTGGCTACACAGGAAATGAGGTCACAGATATAAACAGGAATTAGGCATGAGGAAGCAGTACAGGTAAAACAAAGAGAAAACTAAAAACATAAAAAAAACAGTGTTGTGCTTTTTAACGTCACCGATTTTCATCTTAATAGTTGTTTTATTGTCAATAAAGCTGTTTGTTGACATTTTTTATGTTGACAAAGATTTTTATGTCAATCAAGTTTTTTCCACTGAGAATGAAGATTTTTTTTTTTTGTTGAAATACATTTTTTTATGTTAATGAAATTTTACACTGATAAAGTTTCTTATGTTAATAAATCTTTACATGTCAACAAAATTTGATGTTATTTTATGTTAATAAAGTTTCTTACGTTGGAAACGAACAGCTGACAGCAGGTTTTGGTGGGCGGGGACTGTGTATAGACACTTCCTGTTTCTCAGCTCCCACACCTTACAGGTGTTGTCACCACTTCCTGTTGCCAAGTGATACCTGTGACAGAAAGAGAGTCCTCAGAAACACAAAACTCAATATTTTAACAACATTTTAACACTGAAGCAGCTTAAAGATTATCATGATCAACAAAGTTTGGTGTTGTCAAAGGCTGGAGTTGATAAAGTTTATTCTTCAAACTGAACGCATTGTCATGGACACCAACAGAACCACGTGATTGGCTGTCTATACAGTGCTGTCCTCTGATTGGCTGTGTTNCTACATAGCTCCCTACATAGTTCCCTACATAGCTCCCTACATAGTTCCCTTCATAGTTCCCTACATAGCTCCCTACATAGTTCCCCACATAGCTCCCTACATAGCTCCTTACATAGTTCCCTACATAGTTCCCTGCATAGCTCCCTACACAGCTCCCTACATAGTTCTCTACATAGCTCCCTACATAGTTCCCTACATAATTCCCTACATAGCTCCCTACATAGTTCCCTTCATAGTTCCCTACATAGCTCCCTACATAGTTCCCTTCATAGTTCCCTACATAGCTCCCTACATAGTTCCCCACATATTTCTTTGCAGCTGCTTATTTCTAACTTACAGCTGCACATTAGACTAAACATGAGACTTTAAACTTCTTACATTTAAACATGAAATTCAACATTTGGGGTTGGAGGAAATCCCTTTTGGTTTTGTCAGAGTGAAATAGTTGTTATTGATTGGATGTTCTCTGTTATAAATACCAATAGATAAGCAATGTTCTAATCAGTGATCTATCAGCTGTAGGACCAGCAGAGTAAACGGACCAAACATAGAAACGTGTTGATGGGATCTCCGCATTTAGTAACGCACAGCATCAGTTACCATGGTGATGTAGCAGGTTAAAAAAGAGCCTCCTTTGTCACACTAAACTCAACCCACCTGCTAACATTAATCTCACTTGGTGGTACAAACTCATGAATATTGTTTAGGACGAAATCTGACTGCAGACATCTGCTGTCGACGCTAAGCGATGTGTGTGTGTGCAGTCAGGCTGTGGTTGCGTACCTGCCACAGAAAGTAGAAGCACAGAGCAATCTCGATAGGAGCAATCCAGACGCTGTTGAAATAAACCACAAAGTCCATGAGCTTCTGCGTGTCGGCTGAGATCAGGTTGATGATTTCTCCCAGAGTGCATTGCTGCCGCGCTGCGTTGCTCATCAGCAGACTCTGAGGGTTAGGGTTAAAGCTTTGAGTGTTTCCACATGTGCTTCAGATGTTGAGGTCGTATGAAGGTGTCTCTGTCTGTCTCACCTTTCTGTAGACCAGGCCCATGACTGCAGTCTTCACTCTCATTCCGACAGTGAAGCAGTGAAACATGAACTGATGATGGAGGACAGACTGAAGACAGGACAGAATGAAGAGCAGCGAGGCGAATAGGAGACCTTTCCACATGGCAGCGTCTTTATCCCGCATGAAGCCGAGTAGCATGCTGACGACAACATAAATTATCACGGAAAACAGCAGTGCACAATGAAGCAGTTCACAGCATTGAGTTTATAGAGCAGGAGGGTCTTTACTTTGTGAAATCAAACCATCTGGAAGCTGAAACTCTCCAATAGTCAGCTTGTAACAACAGCTGAGGTTCTCAGACTGACAGCGTCAGGATGACTGTCAGGCCAGGTGTTGAGAAAACTGACCCAGAACAGCATCGGCCAGACCTCAGTATACATATCTGGGACTCACCTGAGCACCTGCGGCACAGCGAACATGACAGCGTCATGGACGAAGAGACACAGCATCCCAACCAGGAAGTACGGTCCGAAGCTCCGCCCCAGAGCTCGCAGCAGGAAGAGGCAGCAACCCCGTCCTTTCTCGTCCTTCCTCAGCAGCTGGGTCGTTTCTGTCGGCACAGCAGAATGGGACCGGGAACGGGACCAGGACCAGGACCTGCAGAGCAACCGAACAAACACAGTGTCCGTTTTTCAGGTGTAAACAGGTTCAATGTAAAATGACCTGAATCATAAAGTGTCATACTCCATCTGTTTGCAGTTCTGAGTCCAGGACTTCTCCAGTTCTGTCATGATACGGATTGATGAGTCCTGGTCCCGCAAAGTCCAAAGATCTGCAGCCTGCAGGGGGCGCCGGTAACCTTGAACCACCAAACTGGCAGCAATACAAAATACAACTTTGTATTAGTCAAGTAAGAGTGTGGTCGTTCTCATCAGCATCAGTCTGAAGTTATCTTGGCTGCCTTCAAACGGGTCAGTCGACATGAAGGTCCGATACACCTGCTGCGTGTCAACACAGGTAGACATTCACTCACTGTGCATCCATGAGCTCATGTAAAAACAGGTTTAAATGTCAGGATCAGTTTAGTTGGCCTGCATTCATCTTAACAACGGACGTCTCCTCAGTGAGGTACAGGACTCACAGCCCAACACATCTCATGGATCCAGTGACTCAGTATCAGTCTGACGGCATGAAGCCGAACTTGTTAAACACAGCACGTCCCACAAATATCTTTCTTTGTAACGCTGAGGATGAGGATCCACGTGGCAGCATTTTCAGTTGCTTCTGTCGTCTGAGTGCTTTCAGTTGGAAAGGTTCTAGAAAGGTGTTGGTGTCATCACTGGCAGTCCTGTTCAGGGAACAGGTCATGTGGGCGGCCTCGTCACTGTCGTAACCTCCGCAATGGACACGTGAGTTCTGGCTGTTTGTGACATGATGTAAAAGTGTGGTCATAAAACATCCATCCATTATCTATACAGCTTAATCCTCACTAGGGGGTGGAGCCTATCCCAGCTGACTCAGGGTGAAGGCAGGTTCACCTGGACAGGTAACCAGTCTATCACAGGGCTCCAATGACAGATGAGTGAGAGATTTTTGATGCTAGGTTAGTTTTGGTAATTTGAGTCATGATGTTCATACCTACTGAACCAGAAGAAAAAAAACTTGGAGAGAAACGAGGCATCTTCTTCTGGACACGGATTCTAACAAGAAAGGACAGTGTTCAGTGGCAGAAGATCCAAATTTAAAGGACATATTGAAAAAATCAATCAGCAGGCTGCCTTAGATGTAATCTCAACAACAAGGTACGTGGAGGCGAGCTGAGGCCAGCATGACTGTGTTTAGCAACAGCTTTACAGTCACCAGTGAAGGTGCAGAAGTGAGCTGGTACTTACATTGAATCTGTGCTTTAGCACACAGCTGTTCGTAGATGAACAGACCTGAGAAGGGCTCCAGATGTGGTAGTTACCTGGATGTTGGCGTGTTTGTCGGACAGCGGTCGGCAATCAGAGAAGCAGCTGAGGACGAGTTCGATGAGTTGGAGGGAAAAACATATGAAGAAGGCCACAATACGAAGAGCATCAGATGAAAATCCCTGAGAGAGCAGAGAGGTGGGAGGTCAGACTTTAAAGTCACTCTTTGTTCAGTTTAATTCAGCAAAAGACAAAAAGGAAAAATGAATCAAGCAATGGACCTGTAAAAAAACACATCGTCACAAACAGAAGAACGTTTTTCAAAGACAACACATAAAAGAAAATATATGATGTAAAATGAAATAGAATTCATCTTTAATCTGGGATTACTTCATCTCAGATCAGTTTCTTTCAACATAAAACAAAAGAAAATCTGGATCATGAAAGAGGATGAAGCTAAAATGTGAATTCTCCTGCTTCATGTGGAGAAGTCCATCCTTCAGCTGCTGAGGACTGAAAACAGCAGCTTGTGACTCATGAGCTCCTCCATCTGCAGCACTTTCTCATGACTGATGTGGTTTTAACTGATGTCAGGAGAAAAAACCTTCTACAGTTTCATCAGCAGTTTTTATCCAAAGCGACGTCCATCTGAGAGCAGATCCAGCACCAGCAAGGATCTGGTCAGGAGAAGACAACCTGGATCAGAACCACAGAATGAGCTCAGGTGTGACAGGGTTCTGATGCCAGTAGCGGCTGTAGGGAGGAAGTAGGACTTTTTTTCTTTTTTTGCTTGTTTGTTTGTTTGTTTCCAGGCTGTCAGGTGTTGAGTGAAGAGCTGCTCTTCAGTCTGTTCTTACAGACTGAGAGGGAGTCAGCAGATGGACCAGTTTGGTAACTGGTTCCACCACCAGAACCACAGAGGAGGAGAGTCCAGCTACCGACCTGGACCTGTTGTGGTGGTTGAACCAGGAGACTTGTCTGTTGTTTCCAAGAAAACTTGTTTGTGATTAGCAGCTATTTGTGAAAAACCATGAGCTCTCACATTTACAGTCACACCTTCAGAGGAATGTTGGTTTAGAGCAGGACCTCTGCCAGAGACGCTTTAGGTTCAACAGCACTGAGTCGTGAAATACTGCAGCTGAGAGACGAACGCCCAGAAAAAGAAACAAGGTGAGAAGATTCTGGAAAAAGCTGTTGCAGCTGATGATGTGAAATTGTTTCAAGAGTTTCAGTCAGGATTTAGAAGCACATCGTACAGAAGCAGCACTGATGAAAGTCCCCGAGGATCTTCTAATCGCCTCATCAGGTGCAATGGTTTCCATACTGGTCCTGCTGGATCTCAGATTAGATTAGAGATCAGATAGAACTTCATCAGCGCTGCATCTGATACAGTTGATTGCAGGATCTTATTACAGCGACTGGAACATGTCACTGGGAACCACACTAAACTGGTTTAAATCATAACAGAGATCAGATGTCTCCTGTATCAGCTTCTCTTCAGTGGCTTCCTGTAAAATCCAGGATCGAATCTAAATCCTGCTTCTAACATATAAACTCTCCATGAGCAGCTCCATGTGACCTTACAGACCTNCCCCCCCCCACCACCCTAGTGAGGATTAAGGTGTAGAGATGATGGATGGATGTCTCCTGTCACCTTGATGGAAACGCAGCCACTCCTCCTCTCCATCTCTCCCAACATGGCGGCAAGCAGAGATGACTTCCCAGAGCCAACATGTCCGACCACGGTCACCAGCGAACCTGTCTTCACCTTCACGTTGATCCTCTGCAGATATGGTGGCCCGCTGTTGGACCAGGAAAAGAATCCACCCTCAATCAGCACAGCGTCTCCATCTGAGGACAGAACATGGCTTCACATATGAAAACATGGTTCCGTCTCACACATGATTCTACCAGCGTGACTCTATTCTCAAGGTGAGCTCAATCCAAACATGAAGTGCATTTATCTACAGATATACTCAGAGCAAAGAAGCAAACGTAAACGAACACAACATGTTATGGCCAATCAGTATCCAGTTAAAGTCATCATCATTACAGAGCCTAAATGAACAAGGTTAGGCTTAGTGAGTAGAACAGGTGTCCTCAAATCTTAAGGTCACATGTTCAATACCAGCTTCCTCCTTCCTCCAGATGCTTTGTTCATCACAGCTTTCATATTTCAGCTTGGACATTGGGTTTCGGTGCACAGGCCTCTTGTCTAACAAACCAGCAATAACTCATGATACTGCTGTAGAAAGTTGAATGTTTAAGTTGTTCAGTTTGTAGTAAAAATGTTTTGCCATTCACACAGCATGATATACTCATAACAGCTCATAGTCGAGGTGAAATCTTTACACGTCCTCAGCTGTACCAGGTGAAGACACTCCAGTGGCTGTGTTGTTGTGTCTTTATGTTTAGAATTACATCGATTTGTTTCAGCGGTCAAACCAAAATGTAGTCAGATGAAGTCAGAGTTCATTTAAACACATGAAACTCAAAAACTTTAAAAAAATGTCATTAAACCTAAGGTTTGCTTTAAAGAAGTATACACATTTTTTTTGTTTGGAGCAACAGGTCCTCCCTGCCCCTAGGGTTTGTGTTAAGCTAGGCTAACAGTTTCCACCTTTGGTCTGTGTCATACAGGTGAGACGTTATACCTGGGCTACGAGGAAGTCTCTTTACATTGTCGGGCCTCAGTTCGTCTTGACTCAGGAAATTTCCAAGACGTCTGAGCGAAACGATGGCCTGAACACACACAACAGATTAAATACAACAACAGATCTTCTTGCTGATATTTTACCAAACTGATGTAGAAGAGACACCAGAGAGCTTCTCCACCTTTACCACAGTCAGCACTGTAATCATCCATCCATCCATCATCTATACACCGCTTAAGCCTCACTAGGGTCATGGGGGGCGGAGTGTATCCCAGCCAACTTAGGGCGAAGGCAGGTTCATCTGGACAGGTTGCCAGTCTAGTAATCATTCATCTTAGCAGTTTGAAATCAGAGGATTTTCAATCTTTCTCAGAGTCCGTCAACGGGACACTGATTCAGATCAGATGTCTCCAAGTATGGGTGAGAAGAAAAGCGGATCTAAAGCATTCTGTTCTGAACATTTAGAATGAACTGAAACATCAGATCATTTTTAAACTGAACATTCCAATTGTGTTTGTTTTAAATTTAAGTGTTTGTTTTACATGTTTGTACTTTGACAGCATACGGAACCTGATTCCTGTGAATTGCTGATGGGTTCAGCAGGAGGGTTTCTAACTTCTCTGGTCTTCAGTCACTGGCTTCATGGACAACACTTCCACCAACTGACACCTATTAACCAATCAACATCCAGACTAATGCAGGGGTACACCCACTGTCCAATCAGAGCCTGTTTTGCATTTTCATTTGAAACAAGTAAACTGCTGGGTTTCTGCCTCTGAGGACAAAAATCTTTCCAGAAAGACATTTAAAATGACAGTTTACAGTTTTGCCATCAGTCTGCAAAGACTGTCAAGTCCTCTCAGCCACCCTTTAATGCTATTCATTCAAACTGTAACACTGCTTTTCCTTGACTTGTGGATGTAGACTGGTCCTAGTGGAGGATGGAGGTTGGCCACTGGCTACAACTTGCCTGCATGGTGGTGCTCATGGCGAAGGGCAGCTGACTCAGAGGTGTCTTCAGGATGTTGATCAGAGCGACCGAAACAAAGATCTTCTGAGCGTCCAGAACATTCTGCTCATCAATCAACACATAGACTCCAAACACTGTCAAAGCAATCTGAGACGACAGGAGAGACGAGAAGGATCAGAAAAGATAAAGACAAAGCTGATTGATCCCTCACCAGAGAAATTCACAAAGATGAGAAACATACAATGAGCTGTGTGCAAAAACAAAATCCTGAACTGTTTGTCATGCACACTGCTCAGATTTCAGCTTCAAACACATCACACTGGTTTTACTGGGAAGTCCCAGATGAGAAACTCAGGTCTCTCATGAGACCTCCATGAAGAAATAAACAAAACAGAAAACAGTTTGTTCGACACTCTCAACACATTCATAGTGATGACCTAAAAACCCACACAGCCAATCACTTACTGAGGTGGCTGTGACATCATTCCATCTGTTTCAGAGAGTGGGCTGTAGCTGCCTGAGTCAACATCAGGCAGATGTTTAGTCACTGACCAGATGTTGAGTCAGACTGAGGTTTACTGACCATGCAGGTGTGAGTCTCACCAGGAAGGATGAGGAGTTGAAAGAAGCCAGGGAAACAGAGTAAAGGATCTGAGACGTCTTTAGTGCGCTGAGTTCTCCGTCTCGCAGGATGTTGACTCGTGGCAAGAAAGCTCCTTCCCAAGAATAAAACTTCAGGATCTTCACTCCACCCAAGATCTCATTCATCAGTTTAATACGACTGTCGGTGAACTTCATCTGAACCTCCTGACAAACACAAGCAGCAGATTGTGACAAAGTTTCCTGATAAGTCAGCGCCAAAATATTGAAATTCCACAGAGAAACAGATGGAAGAGAAGAAGAGTCTCACCTGCAGTTTGCTTCTCATTTTAGCTATGAACCCATTCAGAGGGAAGATCAGAACAACTGCAGTGATACCAGCAAGAGCAGGCAGCCCGAGGAGCTGTGGATCAATCAATCAATCAATGGGCCAATTAGTCAATAAATCACTCAGTCATTTCAACAATCAAATGAGACTCAAGATTCAGAATTCAACAACTGTCCCATGCCTGTCCAGTACGTGCACAGACTGTTCCTCAAGGTAACAACAAACATTCCTTCAGAATCCATCAGTGATCGCAGGTCGGCAGCGATGGTGTCAAGCTGTGTCTATTACTGATACATCTGACCATGACTGTGTCTTTTGCACGTTTGCATGTAAAGGGAGAAGAGCAGTGGGCTGAGGACAAAGCCCTGGGGAGCTCCGGTGTTCAGATTCAGGGGCTGGAAATGTGTCTGCCCACCCGCACCACTCAGTTTCTAGTGGACGGGAAATCCAGAATCCAGTCATACAGGGACGTGCTAAGACCCAGACTGGACAGTTTGGTGTAGAGTTTGGAGGGTATAATGTAATGAAAACTGAACTACAGTCAAAGAACAGCATTCTCACATAGTCTCCTCTCAGTGTGAAAACTTGTCACTTCCTGTTCAGGTCGTCTTGAGTTGATTTTACCTGTTTCTGAGTGAATTGTGAATCTGATGTGTTTGCACTACGGTGCTACGGCACAACTCAAAGCCAGCAAGCAACGTCATAAATAGCTCGCGTAGCATCCGAAATTTGATTTTCCTGAAGCGCTCCCTACATAGTTCCCTGCATAGTTCCCTACATAGTTCCCTGCATAGTTCCCTGCATAGTTCCCTACATAGTTCCCTGCATAGTTCCCTGCATAGTTCCCTGCATAGTTCCCTACATAGTTCCCTGCATAGTTCCCTGCATAGTGTCCTGCATAGTTCCCTACATAGCTCCCTATATAGCTCCCTACATAGTTCCCTACACAGCTCCCTACATAGCTCCCTACATAGTTCCGAACATAGCTCCCTACGCAGCTCCCCACATAGTTCTGAGTGAATCGTAATTCTCCACATAGTTCCCTACATAGTTCTCTACATAGCTCCCTACATAGTTCCCTACATAGNAGAGGTGTACTGTTTACCTTCACTGTAAATTTCCTGCTTAAGAAGGGCCCAAAAGTTCTCAATAGGGTTTAAGTCAGGTGAAGAAGGGGGCCATGTCATTAGATTTTCATCTTTAAGGCCTTTACTGGCCAGCCACGAGTACTTTGATGCATGTGATGGAGCGTTGTCCTGCATCAAAATGAAAGTCTTCTTGAAAGATGTAGATTTTTTCTTGTACCACTGCTTGAAGAAAGTATCCTCTAAAAATTGGCAGTAGGTCTGAGAGTTGATTTTGAGTCCATTTTCAACCCGAAAAGGTCCAACTAGCTCATCTTTAATAATACCAGCCCACACCAGCACCCCACCTCCACCTTGCTGCCGTCTGAGTCCAAGTGGAGCTCTGTGTCCGTTACTGATCCAACCACGGGCCCATCCAACCACGGGCCCATCCATCTGGTCCGTCAAGAGTCACTCTCATCTCATCAGTCCACAAAACCTTTGAAAAATCTGTCTTCAGATATTTCTTGGCCAGTTTTTGGCGTTTCAACTTATGTGTCTTGTTCAGAGGTGGTGGGGTTTCAGCCTTTCTTGCCTTGGCCATGTCTCTGAGAACTGAACACCTCATACTCCTTGACATTCCAGGTAGGTTGCAGTTGTGGAATATGGCAGCACTGGAGGATAATGGGTTCCTGGTTGCTTCATGCTTGATTCTTCTCAAATCTTTGGCGGTTCATTTGCGTCTTTTCTTCTTGACACGTTTCTTGCGATCCTGTTGACTATTTGCAACAAAACGTTTGATGGTTCTGTGATCACGCCCCAATATCTTTGATATTTCAAGAGTGCTGCATCCCTCTGAAAGACTTTTTACAATTTTTGACTTTTCAGAGTCAGTTAAATCTCTTTTTTGGCCCATTTTTCCTGAGGAGAAGAATCTGCCTAATAATTATGCACACCTTGATATAGAGTGTTGATCTCCTTAGGCCACACCTTCCCTCGCTACACAAATACACATCACCTGATATGCATAAAATCCAATAAGCATTCAAGTTTATACAGCTTGGAGTTGGAAATTATGGATAAAATGATGATATGGTCAAAATAATCATTTGCCTAATAATTGTGCACACAGTGTAGACCAGAGTCTGAGAAGGTCTCCAGAGTGACCATAAGAGACGACTGATGGAACAAGGCTTAGAGGGAAGAAGAGCTGCTGAGAAGCCTTTACTGAGGCCTGCAAACATCCAGAAACACAAACACTGGACTGATGGTGACTAGAAGAAGGTCCTCTGGATGGACGAGTCCAAGTTTGAACTCTTCAGTCAGCATCATCGTGCTCATATCATCAGAACAGCTGGAGAACATTTTGATGCCAGATGCACTCACAGTGGAACACACTGGAGGTTCCATCATAGTATGGGCTCCATGAGTGGAAACAGCAAGTTAGTGAAAACCAACAGTGTCATGAACCAGAACGTCTACCACAACACCTTAGTGNCATTGGGGGAGAAGTGCAGGCTGTAGATCTCCTTTAGATGTCCTTCCAGGAAGACGACACAGCGTCCAGTTCGCAGGTCCCACACTCTGCCAAACGCGTCCAGGCCTCTGATTGGACGACAGCCGAGGAGGGCGGGCACAGAGACAGAGAAATGATTGGTCCAGAAGCGCAAGGCAGGGAAACCGAGACATAAACTGTATTATGTAGTATTAGCGCTACTGCCAAGGACTATGCTTGGACAGATGACTGCAGTCCCAGGACTACATTCAGACAGGCTACTGCAGCATCAGTCCCACACTGAGACAGGTGAGCTTAGCCCCAGCATCCTGTGCCACTGACAGTAAACACACTATGTCCGCAGTGGCAGTAAGAGCAGCCAGAGTACGCACCCAGTAGCCACCAGCGAGCCGTCCAGGTGGAACGTCAGGTCGTGGACTCCTTTGCTGTGACCTTCTTGATGGAGGATTTCTTCCTGAACCTCGAGGTCCCACAGACGCCACGAGTTGTCATAGCTGCAAGTACACACAAGTACTGCCAGTCAGTACACACAGGAGCACAACACACTGACTGTTCTGAATACTCTATCAGTACTCTATTCACTCTGATTATTCTGAGTATTAGTACTCTGTGTCAGTACTCTGATTACTCTCAGTACTCTGAGTATCATGACTTGCTGTGGATTACCAGGTTGTTCCCAGGAATCTTCCAGAAGGATGCCACGACACTCGAGACACTCGATCACTGTGACCCTCGATGTCGGCCACCGGCTCGTCACTACGGCAACCCCAGAGACATGATTATTGGTCACCGATTCAAGCAATCGCCTCCTTTCCTACTTTACTTTTTAGCCTCCTACCTCTCGAGGTTCCACAGCTTCACCGACCCGTCAGCAGCACATGAGGCCAAGCTGACGTCTGATTGGTCGAGAGAGACTCCAGCCTGTGGACGGAAGACGACGGCGCCCACATTGGTGTTGTGTCCTTCAGCCAATCAGAGAGCAGGGAAGACAGAGTCTCAGTTATAACGGACGGTTCATTAATACATTTAATAACTACATGTAATAATTCTGTGACTAACTAATAATGAAGCTCCGCCCACCTCTGAGTGTGCGGATCAGGTTACAGTCGGGGACAGACCACAGCTTACAGAGACCACTCCTGGGGGAGTTAGCATGTTAGCAGTGAGCTAAAACACAATACAGACCTGTGGATGCCATTCATGCTAATGCTAATCTTATCTCTGTCTGCGTGCTCCACTGTTAGCTTCTCTCACGCTAATGCTAAACAGTGTGTGGTAATGCTAAAAGTGGGTGGAGTTTGTACCAGGAGGCGGTGGCCAGCATTTTGGAGCTTGGGCTGAAGTGGCAGAAGCTGATTGGTCGATCATCACCAATCTGACTGCAGAAGTTGTTCAGATTCTGAAGAAGAAGAAAAATGTCATCATGTACTCAGCTTTCTGACGTGATGTGTAGAAAAACACCAAACAACGACATGGACCCTAACCCTATCCGTTGCCACGGCAGCAGCACCAACATCAGCCCAGATGTCAGCTGTGTTGGCTGTTCCATTCGTGGTCACTTTGAGGGTTGCGTTGCTGGAATTGCTGTATGTTGGATTATGTGTTGTGTTGCCGGTGGCGTCGTGTTGACGATTGTGTGGTGTCGGTGTCGACTGCGCTGCGCTGTTGGATGTGCTATATCCACGTCTTCATCTTTCTATTTTGACAGACCTCATGAAAACTGTCCTCTCGTCTCACCCTCAGGCTCTTGTGTAGCTCTTGTTGCCGAATCGTCCTGGTTGCCTCAGTAACGTCCTTCTGAGCACGTGCAGCCTCCAGACGCCTCATCGCCCTGGTGGACCAATTACAGCAAGAGCTTGTGAGCCATGGTGAGTGAGTCACTTTATGAAATTCACAGTTTCACATGTTGCTGCAGGAAGTGAAATGTTTGCTGAGCTGTGTGGAGTGAGACATCACAACGGCTTTTTTAAAGTCATTCTTCATGAGGACACATGACCCATACTAGAGTAGAAGCTGATTTCATTATCACAGGACCTCTGTGTGGTCGGTGGCAGAAGAGTTTTTACTTTTAAAGTCACAGACATGGCATCAACATTACAAATGGCACCGTCATTAATACAAATTGCCAGGTACGACCAGGTGATGCTGATCCTGTATAGTGACATGTTCTGTAGCATCTGTGCTACTTTAGGTCATGGTTCCATTGCTGCTAAACTCCCACAATGCTCTCTGCTGCCACCATGAGCTGTAGTCTGTAGACGCCTCCTCTGCTCTCTACAGGATTAAAGAGGAAGAGGCTGTTGTTCCACTTGGTGGAACAACCAGGTACTACAGCTGGTCTACGATACATTTACTGACATCATGACCTTCTTTTGCCGCCTCATCGTTAATATATTAACACATTTTTAATTGGTTAAATTATTTACCACAATTACTTGATTGTTTCAATAACATACCGAGCACCAACTCTGACTGCTGTGGAGACGAAACCCAGTTATATTCAGTCACTCAAACTTCAATCATGTCTTAAGGACATAAAGGCCTGGATGACCTGCAATTATCTTCTTCCATATTGAGACAAAATTAAATTACAGTATTTGGTCACAGATGTCTCAGAAACCAGCTAAGCAGATCGTTCTCCTGGATGCCATTGCCTTGGGTTCATTTCTACTGTGAAGAACTCTAGAGTTACTTTTCAGAACTTCCCAGAAGCACCAGTTGACAGAAATCAGCCACCTGCTCATTTCACTTCAGTACAATAATGCTAGAACACCACGAGCGTGACAGAGAAACATCCTGAATCGTATCAGCCTCCACATACAAAGAGAGGGAATCCAACACGGTGCTGCTTCTAAACACAACTAATGTGGACGTTTCCGGTTCCTAACCCTAACCCTGGATCGGTGACCACATCCTGGATAACTTCCTGCATCTCCCAGCTTCCAATCTCTTTGGGACAGTAAGAGGAGGTGGAAACAAGTCATGCAGCCTGCAGCCGTTTATCCTGGTTGCTGTGAACATCCCGGTTCAGGCCTGTGTCACTGAGGCTAACCCTAACCCAGGCTGACCAGGAAACTCACACGGAGCGCATCAACATCCAGACACTGCTGTTCTGGGGAACGTTTACCTTCACATGAACTGTACTATCAGGGACAGAAACATACTCGACCGCTGCTGCACGACATTAAAGGAAGTCTGCCTTCCCCCGACACACAGGCAGAAATGAAAATCTGCTCAGCCTGTAAGAGATGGAACAAAGAGGCCGAGCTGGAGCAACCCGGCTGCTCCGACTGCACTGACTGGAGAGTTTGAGACTGTTGCTACAGATCTACAGGAACTGGCAGACACCCGACACCCGACAGCAGTTTCTGTGAGGACGTGCCGACTGAAGCCTTCCGTGCCTACAACAACAGCGAACCTTGATGTACAGCAAAACTTGGACAGTTTTGTCCAAACTGTCAAGGAAGAAGCCTCCAGGAACGGAGACCTAATCCTGTCCAACCATTCCACAAACAACACAGACGTTTATGAGCTGAACAAATGAATAATGTCCATTTAGTCTCAGGTTTTGACCACAGTAACGATGAAAGGTGGAGTTGATTCAGTGGATGAACATGATTTAGTGTTTAAGCTATTTTTAAGAGGTTTGTTTTCTTTTGTTTTTTAAAATGTAATATAAATCCAAAAAACAAGTTAAAAGACGGGATTTAAAACATGTTGTCCTCTACAATAGCCAGCTTACTGTCAGTGAACAGTGCACTCACGTCAGAGCCTTCACACCTTCTAGCAGCTGCTCTGCACACCTGATAAAACTCTCGACAACTAAAGCCATGTTCTCAATAAACCAGCTGAATTATGCCTGACAAACCCTGCACAGGGGACCCCACCTATACCTGCCACCGCTAACGAGCTAACGCTCCTCTGGTACTGAGGCCAATGTTCAGCATTTTCATGGTTACTGGTATCATTTTGTTTAGACTATCACTAAATAACCTAAATGTCCTGCTGTGGCTCTAACGAGCCTCTTCTCTGCCTGTCGTCATTGTGTGTCCCAGCAAAGTCCCACCACAGCTCTGTCTGATTGGTTACATGTCCCGAGCAACAGCCAATCACTGGAAGCTCCTGTTCAGAACAGACGAGCACATCATCAGACTGCAGCAGCTCCGGGCCATTAGCAGAGCTGTGTTTAGGGTGGCAGGTGTTGCTGAAGGCTTGATAGAACAGCAACTATCTGCAGGTTATCAGTCAGTGCTGAAAATCAAACTGGACTCTTTGCAGAGAGAGGGCATCCTGATTGGCTAACAACAATCCTCTGTTCTCACATGTCTGTTGCTGCAGGGGCAGGAGCCCTCCCTCTGATTGGTCAATCTGTTGATGACTTACCGTGGAAGGGAGTATTTGGCCAACCAGTGCCGAGCATCCTTCAGGGAGGCGGAGCCTTCGTGGTACCACGTCTGCTGGCACTGTGATTGTCAGAAATGACAGAAAAACATTCTGAGTGCTTCATCGATCAGACTTTTCAAATGAGGGACTGCAACCGAAGGTCTTTTTTAACGACTGAATATTTGGTCATTTTAGAGCCTTGTAGGAAGAAAGACACCGGATCTGATGACATTTTTGGATTCTAGAGGAAAAGTCAGGCCCAGATGACCAGTGTCAAAGCTCCATAAGGCCGACTGTACGGCTTGTTCATGTCTGAAGATGGTCTGAGAGGCCAGTTCAACACGACGCATTAAATTAACTGCAATTTCAAAACTATTAGAGATGGAGACCAAATGTTTGGATTTCTCCATTAACTTGGTATGGGGGCACCTCTGATGATTTTAGGAGCCATCTGAGGGCGACCTGGGAAAATTCTCAGAACTTGGTCGATTTCATATGGAATGAAATAAATAGACACATGGACCAAACTGTTGGTACCGCTCGGTTCATGAAAGGAAACCCCACAACGGTCACAGAAATAACTTGAATCTGACAAAAGTAATAATAAATAAAAATTCTATGAAAATCAGACATTGCTTTTGAACCGCTGTTCAACAGAATTATTTAAAAAATAAACTCATGAAATAGTTCTGGACATAAATGATGGGACCCTGAACTTAATATTTTGTTGCACAGAGTCACATGGTGAGGTACCAGGGAATGGCTGCGCCGTAGGAGATCTCCAAATCCCCTCAACTTTATTCTGGTTTCTAACTACTTAATCTCTCCCAAACGGCACCTTTCAGGCCAGTGGTAGCTTCTAAAGTTACAGAGTTTAAAATTTTCTGCAAAGAATGTCTGCAAGTCAGAGGAAAAAGAGCGTACAAACGCGCTTAGCCACGGTTACCGCAGGGGAAGCTAATGCTAGCCCTGCCAGAACTAACAATGCTAACGCAAACTCCGATAGCCAAGAAGAACATTCAAAGATGGACATAAGTGCTTTGTTTCTTGAAATGACCAAGGTGGGAGCTGTTTTGAACTTATAAAAACAGACATGGCAGAACTTAAAAGCGCTCTGAGTGCAACCCAAACACGGATGACCGAAGCCGAAGCTCGCATCTCAGATGTGGAAGACAAGATGGCTAGTGTGGCGCGAGATAAGGACAACTATGCTAAGAAACTCAAACAGCTTTTGGACCGTGTGGAGGATCAGGAGAATAGGAGTCGTAGGAAGAACGTCCGACTCGTTGGGCTGAAGGAAAGTTTGGGAACGGGTGGCAATGTGAGTGACTGTGTGAAGAGGATCCTGGCTGATGGCCTGGGCTTCAGCGGGGATGAGTTCGATATCGAGCGTTGCCACAGAAGCTTGAAACCGCGACCCAATCCTGGTCAACCTCCACGCATTGTGTTTGTGAGATTTCTTCGCTACTCTGCTCGACATAAAGTCCTGACAGCTGCCAAACAAAAGAAGGGCATAATGTGGGAGAACTGCCATCAGGAAGCGCTTCTCCCCGGTGATGGAAACGCTGTGGCAGCATCAGGGAAAGCACACCCTAGCACATCCAGCGACACTTCGATTTACATGGAAAGACCAACATCAGAGCTTTGAGGAGGCCGAGAAACATGTGCGGGACAACATTGAAAATGAAGTGGAGTGATGAACCAACCAGCTGAACTACGTAACTGGGAGAGAGACGAGAAGTAATTTCACAAGACGGGGACGGGATACCTGAGGTACCACCTGGACAGCTGGAGGAGTGGAAGTCGCTGTGCAGGACCCACACGGACCGAAGACAACTTAAACTTTGCCGGGAAGGCAGACACACTGCCATGGTCTTTTTTAGGACAGTGCATTTTTTGTTCTTGATTTTTATTTTTTCTGCTGAAGGTTTACAAAGTGAGGTATTCATCTGATTTAGATTTTGGACCAAACTAGTCTGTCAATACATGTTTAATTGTTCTATACTGGCTGATATGGGGCTTCAGTATAATTTGTTGTGGAATAATAATGGGTAATATGGACATTAATATTGTGTCATGGAACATCAATGGCTGTGCCACACCTATTAAAAGGAAAAAAGTACTTCGCTATCTTAAGTCTCATAACACTGATGTTGCATTTATTCAAGAAACACATTTTGGAAATGAAAACGAAGCCTTGAAATTAAAAAGAGATCGGGTTGGTAAAGTGTTTCATAATTCAGTGTCAAGTAATAGCCGCGGTGTTATGATACTTATTCATAAAAAACTCAATTTTATTTTATTACAACAGTTAAAGGATGAAGATGGCCGATGGTTTTGTCTCCAGGCACTTATTAATGGAGTTAAGGTTGTTTTGTGTAATGTTTATGCCCCGAACAGGGATGATCCTCATTTTATAGATGAGGTTAATAAGACGTTGGGAAGCATAGAGGGATGTGTTTTATTAGGTGGAGACTTTAATATTGTGTCAGATGAATGTATCGATAGGAGTGCAATCAATGTAGCCTCAACCTCGAAAACGAAAACGGGATTAGCATTAAACTCCCTCAAAGACGGTATTGGTTTGGTAGATGTTTGGAGACTTGTACATCCTTTGGAAAAAGAATACACCTTTTATTCCCACTCTCACAAAACGTCCTCCCGAGTAGATTCTTTTTTGATATCCAATTCGTGTGCTGATTTAGCAGTGGACTGCAAAATAGGTGTTATTGCTTTAACGGATCATGCACCTGTAGAACTGCACATCAGTTTACTGGTTGAAAAAAACAGTAAAGGTAGATGGAGACTGAATTCAAGTATACCACAAGACGAACAATTTGTATCAACACAAAAAGAGGATATAGAATATTTCCTAGAGGTGAATGTTGGGTCTACTGAAAGGCTGGCTGCTGTGTGGGATGCTCTGAAGGCGTTTGTTCCTGGAAGGTGTTTGGCTCACAGCTCTAGAAAAGTTAAAGAAAATAAAGAAAGGATACAAACTTTGGAGAAAGATAGAAGTATATTGGAAAAAGAATTGGCCGAAAAATTTAATGAGAATAAATTTAAAGAGNCATGGACCAGAACGTCTACCACAACACCTTAGTGCACCATGGACCAGAACGTCTACGACAACACCTTAGTGGACCATGGACCAGAACGTCTACCACAACACCTTAGTGCGTCATGGATCCCTTCTGGACTGAACCTGATTGGTCGTGGGTTCATACACCAACCAGACAATGAGCCCAGCAGACTTCAAAGCTGTGCAGAGACCATCTGACCCAGAAAAAGGAATCTGGAGCTCTGGAACTGATGGACCGGCCCAGTCAGAGTCTGGATTTGGGTCCTATGGAACACATTTGGGATGTCGTACATTCAAAGTTTCCTCTAAAGCAAGTGTGCGAACATCTAGAGACTATGTGGAGCTCAGTAACACCAGACTGTGGAAGAGTTCATAAAAGGATGGCAGCAAGAAGCAGCTGTTGTCAAGACCGAAGGAGGCCACAGAAGATCTGAAGGTTTGTGGTTACTATGTGTGAAAAAGGACTGTTTAGCTGTTTCAGTTTGTTACTTGGCAAATAAATAACAAGAACATTTTTAGTTTTCAACGAGTTTTTGAAAGATTTCTACAATATTTTTGTTTTCTCGGTTTTTTGACGGTGGTCTGATGCATCCGTGCAGCTCTGGATAAAAACGCTGTGTTCACCTGGAACTGATTCGGTTCTGATGATGGAGAATCTAAACAGACAGTTTCTGTGAACACACACAGTAGAACGATGGCTGCAGTCTAATTGGCTGACAGTGTTGACCTCAGAAGAGACATGTTCATGTGATCTTCTTTCCAGTTTAGTGAAATATTTCAATCATAAGAATGTTTCACCACCTGCAGCACTTTGAAAACTCAAAGTAAAAGCTGGAGAATTGTTCCCACCTCTCTCGTCGGTCAGCTGGTCCCTCTCCGAACAATGTGATTGGCTCTCCAAGTGCTCGGAGGCCAGCCTTCACCTCACCGTCGTCGGTAGAGACGGTGATCTGTCGCGCTCGTCGCCGCCGCTCAAACTCAGCAAGCGCTTCCTGCTGCCGCTCGCTGACTCGCTCCTCCATCTCCAGGGTTTCCCCTGCAAGGCATCGTGGGTGACAAGCTGTGTGGACGCTGCAGCCAATCAGAGACAGCAGAACACCTGGACTGTGTACCATGTGACCCACCTGATGAGATGTTGATGTTTCCTGCCTCGATCCCAGCCTTCACTGCATCGCTGTTTGCCCCGGCGCTGCTCGCCGCCTCGCCGCTCAGACGCTCGCGCTCCTTCTCCTCCAGGCTGCCATAGAAAACACGACTCTTCTTCACGGCCGGAGCCGCATCCTCTTCGTCCGACATCTTCACTCACTTCTTCTTCTGCTGGACAGACAGAATCCGCCCGATCTGGAGAAGAAGCAGACCCACGCTGAACTGGGAGGACTGGTCCTGGCACAGACTGAAACCAGAAAGTAGTTTCATCACCGACGTCTCAGATGGAATCAAAGCATCTGAAGTTTCTGCTCAGAGTCAGTTTTCTGGAACATTTTACTTTAATTAATTAATTTGATTTCTGCAACACAGAAACTTTGTGACTTGTTTCATTTTCAATATATGACAATTGACAGAAACCTGTCGAACACATGAAGAAGAATCCGTTTCTGTTCCCTTCACATCAGTTCATGCTTTTGAAATTCAGCTGCTTTTAATTCATCCGTTGCATTTCATAAATTCTGCTCTGAACTGTTGGCACGTTATTCCTCCTCAAATTTCATTTGATCAGTTTCATGTTTTACAGATTTGTATTATTCTTTTGTCTTTTTCTGCTTTTAGTCCATCAAGTTGATTGTTTCTGTAAAATCTGTGTGAATTTTATTAAATTTTCCTGTCGTGCTTTTGATGAGGGCTGCAGGTGGCTCTGTGGTTAAAGTCAGGGTCAAAGTCAGGGTGGCCTCACAGCTAGAAGGTCGCCGGTTGGCGTCCCGGTGAGGACNTTTTTGGAAGTATTTACAAATAAGGGATTGTTTAAAAGAAAAAGTTAAGATATTACCAGAGAGAAACCAAGTGGAGACCTTTCTGCTATTACCCCCTCTGTTATGTAAAGCCTCAAAATGGTATAATATTTGCCCAAGGGCTACAAAGAACACGAGTAAAAGCCTGAAGGTAATATGGAAATAAGATTTAGGTTGTACAATAGATGATGATGAATGGCATTCAATTCTTTCAAATAATGGGTCATACATTAGAGAAGCCAGGGCTAAATTTATTCAATACAAAATTCTCAACAGATATTATTTTACTCCCTCCAGACTTTATAAAATGGGTATTGGCAGAAATGATCTCTGTTGGAAATGTCGTACAACTAAAGGTACTTTGATAGACGCCCTTTGGGAATGCCCGTTGGTCTCTCCATTATGGAATGGAGCATTGTGCTATATGCAGGGTTGGTCACCTTGTTATTTGCCAAAATCACCCAGACTGTGTTTACTTGCAGATAAAAGTGAGGTACCACTGTTGAACCAACATGCTTTTAGAGTGTTGAGTACTGCACTGGTAACATGTGCCCGACTTATTTTAAAATTATGGAAGGACCCCCATATCCCAACAATTAAAATGTGGACAGAGAAAATGACTGAAAATGTTGCTTGTGAAAAATGTTGGAAAGAATGCACTCTAATAATGAAGCAGTCATGGAACAAATCGATTTGGATTTTTAAGGCAGCAAGACAGAAAGATTTGCACTAAACCTCACTGTTTTATTTTTTGTTGTTTTTGTGATGTTTTTTTTTGTTTGTGTTCTAAAAATTGAAAAATTCAATAAAAACTTGAATTACAAAAAAATATATATATATTTTGTTGCACAACTTTTGAGGCGATCGCTGCAATCAGACGGTTTCTGTAACTGTCGGTGAGACTTGTGCTCCTCTCAGCAGGTGTTCTGGTCCACTCCTCATGAGCACACTGATCCAGGTGTCTCAGGT